CCTATACAGCGAGTTTCGACTGTATATAACAGTTACAACATCGTCTGTATGTAATATGTCAGCGCATAAACTAACCAAAAAATGTCAAATAAATAAAAATAATTTCTAACTAGATTATTGTTAATAAACTATTTAATAATAATACTACACAAATAATTTATATAAAAATTTTAGAAAATAAAATATAAAAGTCAGTCCCACTACGAAAACTGAACGGTTCAGACGTGTGTGTCATTTACTCCGTTCCACGTGTTTAACCATAGTGCGTACGCTAAGTGTTTTGTGCCAAATTACTGGCACAGTCTTTCTGTGTCTATTACGTGTGGTAAAGTTTCTATTACACAAGTAGCAGAGTGTGCTTAAAAAAGATCTCTCTCTGCGGAGAGCTCTCCAGTTAATACAGTTCCAAACCAAAACCAAAATGAGTTACACAACCGCTTTACAAAAAGAAGTAGTCCCAACGAAAGAACAAGCAGTCATCCTCGACTCAGGTGAAGGTATCCAGCTCCAAAGTTATGCAATTGCCATCGGTACAAAGATCGGTCCTCAAAATATAAGATATATTTCTAGAATTGCCAACAATAGAATTTGTGTGTATCTTGCAACCAAGGAAATTGCCGACCAACTTATTGTGGTTCACAAATAGATTAAAGTCAACCAGCAAACTATCTTAATCCAGCCGCTTATCTCTCGCAATAAGAGGATTATTCTATCGAACGTTCCTCCTATTATCCCTAATGACATCATTGCTCAAAAACTTAAAGAAACTGGCATTATCCCTATGTCAAACATTACAACCTTGAGAGCTGGTCTTAACAATGCTGGGTATCAACATATTTTAAGTTTTCGTAGACAACTTTATATTAAACCTGAAGATGTTAAAAAACTTTCTACTTCGTGGAAGGTAGATTTCGACGAAACCTCCTACTGGATCTACCCAACGATGGACAATATGTTATGTTATGTATGTAAAGAAGAAGGCCATCTAGCCAAGTCATGCCCAACAGACTCGAACCTAAAGAACTCCCAAAACCCCGAGGAAAACAACTTGTTGACTGCTAGTCAAACTTCATGTAATGAACAATCACTCTCTCCTGCCCCAGTGGATAATAATAATTCCAACAAAGAGCAAACCAAGTTTCCATCACTTCCGGCAAAGCGCCCATTATCCTCCACTTCGTCAACTGCAGGTATGCCACCTCCTGCAACTCCCCTGGGCAAAAGAAGTGAAAACTTAAAGGATAATCTGGCAACCAAGCAAAAATCTAAAAAAATTAGAACCGAAGATGGTCAACTTCACCAAAACCCCTAGGTCGATCCATACCTAAACGACGTTCAAGAAATAATGAATAAAAACCCTGAAGAATATCTTATTAAATACGAACAACTAGAGGAATTTTTCAATGAATACAAAATTGAAAAAAATCTGGAGAAAATTCTGAATTTATGCAAATTACAGCCAAGTGTACTCTCCACTACAATGAAATCTATCTATCAATCACTTAAAAGCAAAGCACAGAAGCAAAGCAAAGATTCACTAGAATTACAAAAAAACTAGACTCTGGCATCCTTGATGATACTGGATCAGTTACTTCTGTTTCTTCTCTTGATAGTACAATGGATCTTGAAGATGACCTTAATGATAACCTATTAGCCAACTCAAACCAATCTTACTAAAATTTATCATGCAGCTACTCCAGTGGAATCTAAATGGTTTCTACGCAAAACTAGAGAATCTTCAGCTAATAAATCAATCTATGTATGACTGTATATGCCTCCAAGAAACCAATTTTTCTGGAAACTACTGTGGGAAAATCAAAGGCTATCATTCAGTGCACAAGAACAGAAATAATCCAGGACGTGCCAGTGGTGGAACTGCCATTTTCATCTTGGACAGTATACAATCAAGTGAAATAATATTAACAACTGACTTGGAAGCTACGGCAGTTAGAGTCGATTCAATATATCCTTTTATATTATGCAATATATATCATCCAAATAGTCAAATTCTCACTAAAGAAAACCTCGAAGAAATAATTTCACAGCTTCCCCTACCATTTATTATAGTTGGAGACTTCAATAGTCATAACCCCTTATGGGGATCAAGCCACATTGATGCAAAAGGCAAAATAATTGAAGAAATATGTGAAATGCACGATGACCTGGTCCTACTAAATGATGGCACAGGTACCCACTTTAATTCTAACACTGGCCAACATAGTTCAATAGATCTTTCCTTCGTGTCATCTGAAATTGCCTCCTTTATGAACTGGATGGTAACTGAGGACTTGCATAATAGCGATCATCATCCCATTACTATCACAGATATTAGATATAAGACCAATGCAAACCAGTTCGAGAGACCAATACGATGGATTCTCAGCAGAGCGGACTGGGATAATTATCAACTACTCATTGACGAGAATTTATGTTACCTGCCAAAGAAATCCAACTTTAATGACCTCTCAATCCAAAACTTGGTGGAAAAATTCTCAATTCTCATCAGCAACGCAGCCAATGATACTATCCCAAAAACTTCAAACAGCAAACACTGTAAATCCGTTCCATGGTGGAATTATGAATGCAAACAAGCTATTAAACAATATAAAAAAGCATATCGAAAATATAATAAAAATCAAACTGAAACAAATAAGATCCAACTCAAACGCCTTCGTGCAGTGGCCAGAAGAACAATTAAAGAAAACAAAAGAAAAAGTTGGCAAGACTTCACGTCCTCTCTCACACACGCGACTCCAATGACAACGGTCTGGTCTAAAATAAGAAAAATATCAGGAATTACGGAAAAAAATCCTTTTTCAGCCATCCGAATTAAAGACAATACCTCAACAATGGAAATACATCATATAGCTGATCATATGGTTGACACTTTCGCAGCCAATTCATCAGACGCCAACTACTCCAATGACTTCCAACACTTTAAAAACTCTTATGTCAGTAAACTTGAAAGTCCTAACTATAACTTGGACCCAATAAATAATCCTTTCACGACCACCGAGCTGCTATACGCAATCAACAACTGCAAAAATTCCAGCCCAGGTCCAGACAACATTCCGAATATGCTCATCAAAAAACTTCCAAACTCTGGTAAAGATTACTTACTTAACCTCTACAATCACATATGGATAAGTCAAACTTTTCCAGACCAATGGCGTGAGGCGAAGTCCACGTATTTTTAATTCTTGCTTTAATTGTTCAACATTCCAGGTAAAATATTTGTTTTCTTTATCCATTACTTTTGTAAGCACATAACAGTCACTATTATTAACTTCAAATATTTGCGCGACAAAAAATGATCTATTCTGCTGCCCCCTGGGCCGAGTTTGACAAAAACGGATCCCCATTAAACGTGGACGCGAAATTCAATATGGTGACCTCCTCTTATACAACCAACCAATAAAAAAAGTAGACTAAATGAAGATGCTTGGTCTCACCATTGATAAAAGATTAAAATGGACTACGCACATCCAAAAGTTTAAGAGTGAATGTCAAACTCGACTAAGGGTAATGAAAGTTCTTGCTTCGAAACGATGGGGAGCAGATTCAGGCATCCTTATAGATATTTACAAAGCTCTCATTAGGTCAAAACTCGACTACGCAGCCATAGTGTATGACTCGGCAAATTACAGTACATTAAAAAAACTAGATCCAATCCAGAACACCGCCTTAAGGGGGTATTCTAGTGTAGAATTTTGGAAAAATCAAAAAATTTTTTTTTTCATATTTCCAAAGTTTAGGCATTCAAGAATATGCGTTTAAAAGGATTTTTCAATATTCCTATTATTTCACGAGTTATAGCCGTTTTAGTGACGTGGCATCGGTTCCGGTCTGACCGCTACAAGTTGACAAAAGACGCTGGGCGTTCCCGAGTCCCTACTTATGAAGGTCCTTTTCTATTGTATTGTATCCCTTTTAAGTTAAATCTATATTTAATTGAAGGTCATAGAAACTAGTTTTGTTGGAATATTGTCCTTTTAGTTTCATTTTAAGTTAGTTTTGAGGTAACCTTTATACTGAGTGGAAGTACTAGCTCTGACAACGTGTTTATTCTTGAAGTGAAAATTATTTTGTAAATTTTGTAAAATGGATAGAAAATCTTCGAAATTTAGTTCTGCACGGCCATGCAGATCAAAAAAAAGGAGATTTTCAGGTAATCAATTTACTGTAGAAGAAGAAACCAGTTTCACTAGTGCATCTGCAGCAAAATTGAAAAATTCGCAGGATGAGGAAGTTATAATTAATAACAATTACGGTTATTGTATTCTAGAATTTTTTTCTGTTTTTACCACGCTTTTAACATTGATCCTGTGTTCAAGAGGAATAGCTGATTAAAAATATGTAAGTATTCTGTATCATGCTATAAGTAAAATTGTCGAAAACTTGTCTCAAAACTTTGAACGCGTTTTTCTCGAAACTACTTTTTTCGAGCTGGCGGTAAGGATATATCGAGTTCTAATGGACCGATTTACTTCAAATTTGGAGAGGATGTTCTTTATACATCTCTTCATCGGGTGGCCCTTGCCCAAAAATGTAACTTCTCATTTAGTATTTTTAAAAAATTCGGAATTGTTAAAAAACATGCAAAAAAAAAATTTTTTTTTTCAAACTGCCGCCATTTTGTAAAAAAATTTTTTTTTAACTTATCCAAGGGTGATATGATAGCGACATTTATAATAATTAAGAATCCGTCTGGTTTTTGTTTTTCAGATCACCAGGAGGGTTGGAAGAATGCACGCCAGGACACCCTCTTTTATTTAGACCCCCCACTTTGACTACTTGTAACTTTGTAAATTTTAATTTTTTTTTTTTATTAATTTTTTTATGTATTAATAACAAATCAATAAACAAATGATAAAAAAATTGATAGTAAAAATATTTTTTTTTTCCTTTGTAGAGCGCTTCAAAAACCGGGCGAAATTCATGCCTCTACACTAGAATACCCCCTTAAGATTAGCCACAGGAGCCTTTCGAACTAGTCCCGTAACTAGCCTCCAAGCTGAAGGTGGATGTATACCACTTGACTTGAGAAGAAAAGAACTATGTTTCAAATATGTGGCCACTATCACCACCGCTCCAGATAACCCAGCTAATCGACAGGTCACCAAAGACTTTTTAACTGATATTTTCACAAATAAGAGGTTACCAAAACCTCTCCGCATAAGAGTACAAAAATACAAAGAAGAACTGAGCTTTGAGTTCCCTAAAATCGCAACAAGAAGTCTAGGGTACTATCCTCCGTGGTACAAACAGAACATCAACTTTAACCTAACTATGTGTGACTTTAACAGAAGTACAACCACAGCTGAAACGTACCGAAACTATTTTCTAACTATCCAAGAACAATATAAAAATTTTGAAGAATATTATACAGACGGCTCTGTCATTGAGAACTGTGCGGGGTTTGCTGTCACTACTGAAAATAACATTCTCCACTTCTACCGCCTCTTTGACTGCTCAATTTGGACATGTGAAACAATTGCAATAATATACGCTCTAAAAACTATCAAAAATAAAACTGAAAACCTAAACAGTGTAATCTATACAGATTCCTTGTCGGCACTTCAAGCTATTAAAAATCCACTCAACAATCACCCACTGATACTCCAAATCCATAAGTTATTAGAGGAAATAACAGCTCTGGAAATGTCTGTCACTTTTGTATGGATTCCTGCACACCAAGGAATCAAGGGCAATGAACTAGCTGACAGTTATGCGAAAGAGGCAACCGCCTTAGAAATTGATATTACTATAGAAGTTACACATTGTGATGTAAAGAAATCAATTGCAACTAAAGTTCAAGCATACTGGAACCTCCAATGACAAAATTCAACCAGAACAAAGCTACACTATATCCGAGAAAATATATATGAAACAATACCAAAACTTAACAGACAAAACCAGGTTGCAATTACGAGACTCCGAATAGGTCACACAAACCTAACGCACATTTATCTGATCACCAAAACTGACCCAGAGTTATGTCCAAAATGTAGAGAGGTTCTGACTGTGCAACATCTCATGATAGACTGTAGAAGACTAATCCAGGAAAGATCCAATGAAGGAATATCAAATGACATGAAGACAATACTCAACAACCAAGATCAATGCCATCGTGCAATTTCATTTCTAAAATTGATCAAATTATTTAAAAAAATTTGAATGAAGAATTGTTATATAATTAAAAGTTAATCATTGAATCTCTTGTAATTTAATTTAATTAATGTAAATATTTTTAATATAGAAGTCGTTAATGACCTTGTTGTTAAAAGCGACTTAAAATAAAGCAATATAATA